GAGCCAAGCATAGCTTTAGTAATGAGTAGATTTAGGTCAGCTTGTCCCAGTCCAAATTTATATACTCACATACAAATAAGGCACAAACATGCTGATGCACAATTTGTAAAGAGATGCTTCTGAAAGGCTGGCTGGCCTGTTCAGCTTTTTCTTTTAAGAATGCTCAGAAGCAAGAGTACTGGAAAGAGACATTAAAGCATACCACCCCCCTTAAAGAAAACAGGATTTCATTAATCCCAGAACTGACAGAGGTTTAAACTTACATTCGCTTCTGCTTCAACACTCTCAATGCTTTCTGCTTTACTGTATTCTGAAAGACACAGTATTATTATATTAGGAAAAGTATTTGACTTTACTCTGGATTATACTGCCTAAATCTAATGTGTCATATTCAAATTTTCCAAAAGATTCCTCAGTTACTAATGCAAAGAGTTTAACAGTAGTCACATTCAGCATTTGTCCTGCATTAATGACTCACCAAACAGGCTTGTATGTAAAGCTTCTAAAAGCAAATACTTTCAAAGTTTCTGGCTTTTGAATTATTTTTTTTTGACAAGCAGAATAGAAAGTCACACTTAATCCATCAGAACCGTCTTTCATGAACACATTTTAATGGTCAGCATCAAATATGACTGCCAAAAGTACTTTAACAATACTGTTTATACTAGCTATGTTTATTATTAAATAAAAACCAGATATATTTTATATTATATGTTCATCCCCTTTCAAAAATGGGTTTTCCTACTCCCTTTCTGCACAGTGAAGACCTCTTTATTTTGGCATATGAACAAACCGCCTCCCTACCAGACTTAATTCAGGTAACGGAAGAAGGGAAGCAAGCACATTACTTCTGATTGGGGAATTACATTATACTTCAGAAGAAACAAAAACCAATGAAAAGACTGTTCAAAGATGCATGTCTAAGAGATGCTTCAGAATTAAAGTAATCCTGCAGGATCTTATATCCCATCAGTAGGGCAAGATGCAATTCTGAGAACCTGATGAACTGGCTATATCACTCCACTACATGACAAGAAGTGGGAGTCAGCCTCTCATGCTTAAATCCCACAGAAGATTCTTACCTTTGCAGGCCCCTCTCTCATCTTCTTCATTTGATCCTTATATTTCACTAGTTCTGCATCAAGCCTAGCGATTTTCTTGTCAATTGACTCAGCTCTGCTATCCACCTTTAATACATGATGGGGAAAACAAACAAAAAAACATTAAGTTTTATTCAGGTATTGGACAATAAAAAGAACGGCCTCAGTTTTGTTATGCTTCTAACTGAATCGTTTCTTCACTCAGTATGTTCTATAAAGAGCTGAAAGTTTGTACAGAATCCAAAACCAGAATCAAGAAGTGAAACACCTTCTACAGGGAGCACAAGAACTATTCTGAGGTTGCAGGAAGCTCTGCCATTGTAACATGTTCTCATCATTTTGAGACGCCTCCTTGCACACCCACTCAAGTCACTGTCTCTATCCAGGAATTTCTGAAAACATACAGTGCCAGGGACTAAACCGGAACAGAAAAAGAAAAACATAGGGGTACGATGCTGGCAGATAAAGGAGCAATGCAAAAGGGACAGGGATGTGTTCAGCAAGGCTAGAGGTTTATTTTTGGTGGGCAGAGAACATTAATCCTTCAGAATGATACCTAGATTACTGGTTACGTTTAAGAAGGCCAAGCTTAACTATTTTTGACAAAGGTGCCCAACTGCTTTCTCAGAGAGACACATTTCCCATCACTTTCCGCAAAGGGAGCCACAACACAGCAGTTCCACCTGGTAGCTACTCTGAATTCTTACTGCACTTTCACTCCAAATCCCAGTAGCAGCTGCATAACTCAGTAAGAGACCTCCATTAGTCAATCCTAACAGTTCTGGTGCAAAGCTTATCAAAGCTGTCATTATGGGAATATTTTAACCCTACTGCATAAGAGGGTTAAAGAAGATAATTACATAGTCAAACATGAGTATGGATAGGTCTAACAGCATACACAAATTCATTAAAAAAAAACAAAAAAACAAAAAGAACCCAAGAAAGCCTCCTTAACATGAACTGACTATCACAGCATTTCTCTGGAAACTACAAAATAAAGCTTATTAACTTCTTATTCCAAGGAGGCTCTCTAGGGATTAGAATATAATTACACTCCAATTATAGCGTGAGACCAATCAGTGCAAATTCACACTTCTGACTTGCTAATAGTGTGGCTAAACATGTATAATTATGCAGATTTTCATTTTGGTGTCTCAATGATCCTTTTAAATCTCTGCTCTATGACAGCAACATGCATTCGCCAGAGGCGTCTTGAGCAGAATGTTTGATATGAACACTCCACACAAGACACTGAAGTGCCTGGGCGCAGCTGGCATTGAAAAAAATGTATTAAGCTTTCTATTATGTCAAATATTTTACTAATAGTGAGAAAGAGATATTTATGATTTTAACTCTTGTAGGTTCAAAGTGTAGCACTTCGGTCAAGATCTTCATCACTCTCCTTCACAGGGGAAAACTCATTACTTGGTTTATTTATATAATGATTCTCTTAGGCAGTGCTAGCAGGAAACGGAGACAGGTCCTCCTACACTGATTAACTACATAAAATTTTTACACACACATTACATAGGACACAGCTTTTAAAAATGAAACTGGACAGAAGTAGAGAGAACAGATCTAATTTATCCAAAAGAAAACTAGATTGTGTATTAAAACTTGAAGAGCTGCTTTCTATTATTCACAAATAAGGCATATCAAAGTACATTTCACAGAAGGGCCCCGATGTAAACAGAAGAAAGTGATCGTAGTATCCCAAATCCTTATTAAGCAAAATCACACCTTCTTTCAATAAATAAAAAAAAAGAACATCACATATAAGACTGAATTTTAACACTGTTGTCACTACTAGCCTTTTGTAAACTATTAGCCTTTTGTTCCCATGTTTCCTACTTACTACTAGGAAAAAAAAAACCATAAATTTGGAGTGTTTTTTCAAAGAAGAAAAAGTAAAAACAATACAAATGCCACTGTTCCTGATGCATCCTTCCTCCTATCGGCCTCCTGACAGCTTTGAGTCATCTGACTGTGCTCAGCCAGCAAGGATAAAAAAAATCTGCCACTTAGTGCAATGTTGAGGCAAGCACGGCAGGCGCGGCAAGAGAGCGAACAGAAACTGCAAGGAAGAGTGGGAACATACCCATGGGGAGTAAGTGGGGAGATAGGATGGCATCACACAGCCAGCCAGCAAACTCGATAGTAACCAGCCATCGAAGAAAAGTAGGGAGAAGTGTTTCGTGGGTTCCTGCAAACACTTCAGATTAGAGATCCCACACAACCAACTCTTTAAATTAAAAAAGTCTTGAATTGTTTAGATATCCTAAGGTGATGCTCGTTCTCTTACCACAGAAAAAAAGTGTATTGTGTGCTGATCTTGTTGGGTTCAGTTATACTACTTCTGCATACACAGGAAAGAACATGCAAAACACAGGCATAATTACTGCCTAAGAGTTGTCTACATTTTTAACAAATTGTAACTATGAACATTAATCACTGCTCACCAAATACAATAATTCCTAACTGCCATTTAATGGCTAATTACCACTGAAGTAATATGGTAAGAAATTTTACAAAGCGATTTGACTCTTTCAAAAGGCACAGCAAAATGTGTCTAAGATGGAAAACAGCACAGAAGTGACGTTATCCGAGTCTCCAAACTGTTGAATTTAACATGGTAAAGAAACGGTGCAAGTTTTTTTTAATATCTCACACAACTTTCTTCATTAATAATTTACATGCAATTTAAGAACAAAAACTAATGATAACTCTAGTCCTGTAGCAGGATATACTAGAGACTTCGCTATTGTGAAAATGACTGAAAATACAGCAAGTCTTTCACAACTCGGATTACTTCACATAAATTGGCACAACAAGTTAATTCATGAACTCTGAACTTGTAAAAGGAAATATGTTTCTCCCCACGCTTACTAATATACAGAACTGTCTTAAATTTTAGTTCCATCCACAGAAATTGAACTGTGGAACTGGCAAAATCAGCCCTGAAAAATTTAAATATTAAGAACAGTATCTCAGATGGATTTTGGAGCCATCCACCAAAGCATTTACTGGTAACAATGGGAAAGACGATCCTGATTTTTGAGCACATGCTTTAGTTACTGTTCTAATTAAACATACTTGGAGCTATGTTTGGGCTTAATACTGATAAAAAGCAATACAGATTCTTTGCCAATAAAATAACATTCTGGGAAAAACACTATGACCACTTGTCTTGCCATCGCAGCCACTGGCATATGCAAAAGACTGATGAGCACGGGTTTGTGTAGGTAGCACCGAAAAATACTAGGTATTTAACTTCGAGAGTCTCTCCACTGCGTAGCAAAATAAATCTTCTAGGAGGAAAAATGTGATTTTCCACAGAAACTTTTTGTTGTCAGGTTCCAGTTACAATGCTTGGTTAGCCTTAGTTAACCTCCATTTATACCATAACCATTACTGACCTTTCACCTGACTTTGTTAACTACTGAGACACTCAAGACCTCTATGTTCTTTCTTCACTTTTTAAAATTAGGTTACAACAGAAAGAGCTGTAAAAACATATCATGGTTTTCTTCACAATCTCAAAAGCCCAAAAAAAAAAAAAAAAAGACTATGAAATGACAAGATTAGACTTCTTAAAACTTCTCCTTGAGCTTCTTTTCAGACAGGCCAACCTTAAAACAGCTGTGAAGTGTTCTACAATGCCCTTCCTCACCATTTCTTTCATGCTCTGGGCTTGTTTAATTGTTCATCTACACACCTCTCTGTCATCAACGCTCAAGCTGGTCTGTAGCAGACGGAGCAATCTTCATCAGAAGGTGGGATTTGCCCTCCCACCTTCTACACTGGACAGAGGGGCTGGTTCCCTCGCTCCTGTTCCTGCTCCTGTCCCTCCTCCCCCACAACTTGGCATGGCAGGAGTTACCTAGTGTAATCAGAGCACTGAAGTCCTCAGATGGAAATACTGAAAATATGCATGAGGACATAAGGAGAACCAGGCCTTACATGCACACTGTGTGCATCCATTTATAGGATGTGCTTCTATGCACAAACAAACAAATATAGGCATGGGTGTATACACTTACCAATTTTATGTACCAGTGTACATGTACACTCCTGGGCATGCTGTGCTGATGCACAGGTGCACGCTAAAATACATGTGTGCATATATACAAACATACTGTACCAACGCGTAGGCATATAGCAATGTACATTCAAGTGTGTGTGTGTGTGTATATATATTTATATATAAAAAGAATGTCATGGTTTCAGCTGGGATGGAGTTAACTTTCTTGCTAGCAGCTGGTGTGGGGCTACATTTTGGATTCGGGATGAGAGCAGTGTTGATAGTGCACTGATGTTTTCGGTTGTTGCTAAGCAGACAAGGCCTTTTCAGCTCCTCACACCGCCCCACCAGCGAGTAGGCTGGGAGTGCACAAGAAGTTGGGAGGAGTCACAGCTGGGAGAGCAGACACCAACTGACCAAAGGGATATTCTACGTGCCTTGGTGATGTCATGCTTTGTATATAAAGCCTGGAGAAAGAGGAAGTGGGGGCATTCAGAGTTATGGTATTTTTGTCTTCCCAAGTAACCATTACACATGATGGAGCCCTGCTTTCCTGGATATGGCTGAACACCTGCCTGACAATAGGAAGTAGTGAATTAATTCTTTCGTTTGCTTTATTTGCATGCATGGCTCTGGCTTTATTTGTTAAACTATCTTTATCTCAACCCCCCTTTTTTTTTTTTTTCTTTTTCTCACTTTCACTCTTCTGATTCTCTCCCCCACCCCAACTGGGGACAGTGAGCGAGCTGCCGCCTGGAGTTAAACCACAACACACACACAGACCCCCCGTGCCCCCACAGAGCTGTGTGTCCACACTCAGGCGCACACTGCCACGCACACTCCCCACACGCACACTCACAGCCTCTACCAACTCCAAACCAGCGCACGGCCACGCACCCGCCGCGCCTCTGAGTCACTTCCACGTACGGGC